AACGGGCCATCACAAGTGATTGGGTTCAGCTTCTAATTTTGGATTTCATCTCGTGGTATTTAATCACTTATTTCAATCTTGTGCCAAAGACTATGAAATTTTACATCTACCGATACAAAAATCATAGCTTGAATTGTTGGGTATAAAAAAAACAAAAACCCCAACATTTTCCGACGCAAGGCTACTATTATAAATTTAACATGACTCGAGTTACAAAGTATTGTCACCAGGTTTTTCGACATTAGGTTTATTGACGAATTTTAGTCTAATAGTTAGAAGTAGGGGTAAATGTGTTTAAGTTTGGACTGTTTGTGATAAATTTTGAAACCAAACAATTTAAAGCGGTTTGGAATTTTTCCAAACCAAACTAAATCACTTCAATTTCTAAGCCAAATCAATTCAAACCACTTTTTCAGTTTGATTCAATTTAAACCCTCGATTTAACAAAGAAAAAATAGCATATATTTGAATAAGTTAAATCATAAATATTAGTCTAAAACTTCATGTTAAAACATAAATAGCATCATTAAAAATATTACAAACCAAAGTTCTATAATCCTAGTTTTTATAATTCAACAACATGATAAAACATTTTAATCATGAATTCACTTATTATAGTTAAATGATATAAAACAAATAATGATAAAAATGTATAAAAAGATCAAATACGATAATACCTTCTATAACTTTTCTGTGAATCATCCAATGCTTTTACCTCATTTAAATATTGACAAATCACTATATGTTCTTTTAGGGCAAATCACTGCCTCAACCATATTTTCATTTCTGAAGGAATCAAGAATTCGATCACTAGTAGAAATGAAAATTTAGAAATAATTGTGAATATTTAAATAGCTAACACATCGTTAGTAATTTGGAGGGACAATCTTATATTTATTTGCATTCAATTTTCACCAAAGTAATATCTGGAAAGGTTTTTTGGTCAAATCTTCAAAACGATCATTTAAACAGTCCACCAAATCATTCCAACAATCAACAATAAAATCTAGAAATTAAGTTGAAATATAAATAATTAATTGAGTGACCCAACTAAAAAATTGAGACGCAAATAAATAAATAAATTGCTACCCACTAAAAAATTAAGAGAGCCCGGTACAAATTAGAACAAAACAACACTACTACCAATAAAATATAGCAAATAATTACCAAAAAATAAGAAAATTTGGATAAACTGACTTTAGAATTTAGCCGAAATTCAAGAAAATTATTAGTAGAGGGAAAAAATTGAATTAAAATCTAAATTTATTTATCTACTCAATTGTAATGGGCGACCGACGAATAGGATTCAAAAACAGTTGTTCAACACTTCATCCATTTGAAGGTTTTGCCTTCACAATTGCGATGACCGGTGGGTATTTGGATATAATCTAATTAATTAATTGTGATACAAAATTGTCTATTTAGATCTTAAGTTTAATTGGATTACATCTAATATGGACATATCTTTTTAATTGAAATGTGTTTAGTTTTAATTGAGTTGGATAAAATTTAAATTAATGCAGATTATTTTTGTAAACAGTTTAACGGTTTGAAACGGTCATTGAAATTTAAACCACACCTTTCGAATGGGCAAGTCGATTTGAATTGATTCGGCCCATTAACGGGTCTAAACCAGCTTGTATTAGTAGCCGAATAGTGTTTTTAAAGTTGGGACAAGACCTGTCCTACCCATGAACTTGCTATAATGGCCAAACCGTTTTTAGAAAACATAGTTTTCTTAATATCCAATCCCATAAAAATCTAAATCCGAAATCAATAAAAATTCCTTAGAGACCACGTGTTCATTAGCGTGAGTCAAAGGTTCCTTGTTACAAAACATAGTTCAGTTGTCAAAGTTTAATGTGCACTTGTTACATGTCACAAATCACATGTACCAGTTCACAAGTTACATATCATTGTGCATAGGTCACAGATCAATGTTCATAGGTCATCAATAACATAGGACTATCACAAATCACTTATTTATATTTACATGTCATATGTCATATTGTATATGTCACATATCAATATTAATTGGTCACAGATCAAATGTTACAAATCACAGATTCAAGTTCACATGTCACAATTCATATGTTACAGGTCGCGTGTCATATTGCATAGGTAACAAGTCAATGTCCACATGTCACATGCCATTGGATCAATATCACAAGTAATAGTTTACAAGTCACAGATCGAAAGTCATATTGTATAGGTCACAGATCAATGTCACTAGTCACAGATCAATATTAATTGATTGTAGATCAGATGTCACATATTTTTATACACTGATTGGTCACAAATTCAAGTTCACAAGTCACAGTTCATATGTTACAGGTCATAGGTCACATATCATTTTGCATACGTAATAGATTAATGTCTACATTTCACAGATCCAAAAGAATTGGTCACAGGCCATTGAATCAATATTTCAGGTAACAATAATGTCCACATGTTACAGATTCAAGAGAATTGGGTACATGCCATTGCATCAATATCACAAGCAATAGTTTATAGGTTATGGACACATGTAACAGTTCACGGATCACATTTCGTCCATAGATCACAGGTCACAATTCCAAAAGAATTGGCAATAAAGGAAAAATGGAAACTAGTACAATGAAATACAAATACACTTTCTTTTTCTTTTTCTCTTTCATAATAAGTTAAGATAAAACTTGCTCAATTAAGAGTTATAAGGCAAATTCAATTGCTTACGGATCCATTAAAAAATCTCGAAAATTCTAAAGAATTCTTAAACAACCCAGTGTTACAGAGCATCTGCATCTTATGATAAATCAAACATCTGAATCAAATTTACACTCAATGGATAGACCGGTTATTTACGGTAGTTTAAATCACACCTCCAAAAATCTCATTCCTTCAATGATTTTGACGCCATCGATTTTCCAAATTAAAGTTCAATTAGATAATCCGTCAATTCTTGTCGATGTTTTGCTAAATTAAAAATCTAACAAGTGGCTACCCTTGAGATGATGTACTCATTGATCTCAAATCGAGCACCTTTATCTAGATCTTTACTACCATCATTGTATGAGAGGGGATAGCAGTGGGTGGGTCTCGGTGGCTGTGGCTTGAGGAGTTTGTAGAGAGAGAGATGTTCGAGATATTAGAGAGAGATTGGAATGGGTCGAGATATTAGGATAAATATTTATTAGATATATAATATATTATTTATCACCTGAATTTTGAATTTTTAAACTTTGTTTCTTAAAATTGAAATGGTATATAGTAAACATCTTATGCATCTGTTTGGTCAGGATTAAAATATGATTTTAATTCAAGTCAAAGTCAAACAATTAGTATTAACCATATCTTTCATGGATCCTACAATTTCTCAACTATACATTTCAAAAACTTCTATCACAATCTACTAAAAATCTAATTTTAATCTCCACCAAACACCCTAATATGTATTGTTCCCTAAAAAAAAAAGAGGAAATTACACCTAGGCCTGGTTTTAGATATCAATTTTCATAATTCCTGATTTAAGTTTGATATTTCACTAATCAGGATTTAAAGGAATTAAAAAAAAAAATTTATTTTCATTTAAAAATCTATTTAAAATAAATTCATTTATTTAACCCTACCCTAACTCCCATACCCTAAATCAAATCTTCTCTCAATCTCTCCACCG